CTTTAGCTTTTATTCCTTGGCGGTGAAGGGAAAAATGACAGCATTGCAAGTGTAATTCTAGTCAAGTTTACCAACAATACGACTCAGTATTTGTTTTTCGCTTTTGTTTGACATCAACCACCGATTCGTGAAAAAACAACTCCGAATAATTAAGAGCTTTCCTTGTTAGCACACGATAAGAGAGCTTATTAGGCTAAAAGTGTATTCTAGGATCATCACCATAATAATAGTTTGTTCGGGGTTTTCATTTAAACGTTTGTGAATTTGTTATCAAGGAATGCACGACTTTGAATATCTCGAAGAACCAGCAAGTAACAGTGCGAGATTAAGTATGAACGAACCACTGAGAGACTGTGGTGTGTTCCGTCATACTGTACTGTTAAGTTCTAAAATGTACTTTGCCTCACATTACTATACGTTCTTATGTAATATTGTTCGTTGCTGCATACTTATATGTTGTTGTACACTGCTCTACGTTGTTGTACACTGCTCTACGTTGTTGTACACTGCTCTACGTTGTTGTACACTACTCTACGTTGTTATACACTGCTCTACGTTGTTGTACACTACTCTACGTTGTTGTACACTGCTCTACGTTGTTGTACACTGCTCTACGTTGTTGTACACTACGTTGTTGTACACTGCTCTACGTTATTGTACACTACTCTACGTTGTTGTACACTGCTCTACGTTGTTGTACACTGCTCTACGTTGTTGTACACTACGTTGTTGTACACTGCTCTACGTTATTGTACACTACTCTACGTTGTTGTACACTGCTCTACGTTGTTGTACACTGCTCTACGTTGTTGTACACTACGTTGTTGTACACTGCTCTACGGTGATGTGCACTGCTCTACGGTGATGTGCACTATTAACAGAGGGGATTGTGAACATTGCCGGAAGCATCAGAGGGGTTGTTGTGTTGACCGGTTCTGACTGGATTGAGCCGCCTATGCTACCACTCTCTAGAGCCCTGCATTATTACTCTGTATCTTAATGTGTTCACTACAACCCCAAGGACCAAGGCCCTAATTAACCCCTTGTGTACAATGCCGTCGAGTACTGTGTTGTTGTGCTCGTGGTAATAGATTAAGACATCTTAAGCCAAGGGATTTAAGTCATCGTACACAAAAGGTTAAGATCAAATTAACGCCATTCTACTTACTGTATCTTTCACCTCAGTATTTAGGGACGATGCGAGGGATGAAATTTGAATGTAAATAACAAACCGTTTTTATACGTGAGTGAAATTAACCAATCATAGAGCGCGTTACATGAGGAAGAATTAACCAATCATAGAGCGCGTTACATGAGGAAGAATTAACCAATCATAGAGCGAGTTACATGAGGAAGAATTAACCAATCATAGAGCGCGTTACATGAGGAAGAGGGTTTGTATATTGAGGGTTTGTGTATGGTGTAAGGGCAGGGGTAGAGGGTAAGGGGATGGGTATAAGGGATAAGGGGAGGG